GATGTGATGTGGTCAGAGTGAGGTGACAATGACACATACAAAGTTTGGTGTCAAAATGTGAAGGCATTGCAGAGATAAAGCCTAAATAGTCATTTTGGCAGCATGCCTCAAATTTGATGCTGTGGTATACGAAAACGGTTTTGTCTATCGTCACGCAATCCATAACTTTTATTCGGCACCGTCTGGAGATGATACGATTCAATTTTCGTGAAAATCGGACAAACGGTCTAGGAGGAGTTCGAAAAAGAAGGTTTTTCAAAAGAATAAAGATGGCGGACAGGAAGTTTGGCTGATTATGCAAAACCAATATCTATGTTTTCAGCATAACCCAAGGAATCTATTAAGATCAGTTTCATTGCAATAGGCAAATTTATTCAAAAGTTATTAGCGTTCTCAGAAATTAATTATAACTTTTGACCAACAGGTGGCGCTGTCTCAAAATCTTTTGAGTACCTTCAGGGCATGCTGCTTATGGCACACACTGAGTTTTGTAATATTACACCAATGCATTTGTTTAGTATAGCATTTTATTTCACAAAACTCTATTGAAGTCAATGGGAATTTCACGTTTGTTCTATTATAGCGCCACCAAGAGGCTCAGTCCCACAATTTTTTTATGTGTCCTCAGAGTGACCCCATACATATGTGTGTCAATTTTGGTGAAAATATCTCAATTCGCTTCCATGTTATAAACATTTATATGAAAAAACACGTAAAAAATGACTGACACATGACTTTGTTTGAATTTTACTACCCCTTACTATCAATATTTCGCATTTGGGCATTAGCGTATAGTTAACAAGCTATGATTCCGTGTTTCTGGCGGTGGTTTCGTCTCGATCGGAACAGCGGTTTTGAAGATATCGCCAAGTGTTTTTTTCGCGCTAAATCGCTACGCTACGCCATCCGTGAGACGAAACCCGACATTTTGGTATCGTTGGACTCGGCAACGATTCAGGACCTCAAAAATATGACTCCCGTGAAAATAAGTGTACCACACCCAAAGTTATAAGCGTTTGAATA